ATTTCTGGTTCTATACTCGATGGTATTAGCAAACTTGGTGTCCAGGTTTAGCGCGAGAAAACTGAGGGACCTTCCATTTGAAATGAGGAGTCAAAATAATATGATCTGCCAAGATCGCATTTAAGAGAGTAGCTTCTAGAGATAGTTTATGGAAGTATAGGTTATAGGCATAGACATATCTATATCTATGGTTATAGGGTTATAGAAAAATATCAGAGTTGTCTCCTAACGTCAACAAAATTCAAATCATTAATAAGAATATTTTTTTTCCTTGTGTATCATCCCTTTGCGTGATCTTAAATGCTCTAATAATAAAAGGCTTTAGGTTGTTGCTTGTCTATAATTGTTTTTTACGTCAGATCACAGCAGTTCGTCGAAGAGGTTCTTCCAGAAAACCTTGGCGTTCTCGAAACTGACACTGGCCGAAGTCTAGTGACCGCCATGACTATTTAATCATAATATCCAAATATGGATTAAAATAAAAAATGAGTCATTTGTACAGGGAAAAGGGAACATTAATAATAGTAATAATAACGCAACATGGCCCCACACTAAGGAAACCCTGGTTAAAACGAGAAATTTAAAAAATACAGAAACACTCTGCGCGATGGAATGTGCAAAAGTCTAAAAATAAGACATGAAAAAGCGCGTAATCTGTATATAATTTATAGGATCCAGTATTAAGTAATAAACGAAAGAATGAACGAAAAGGGTAATTTTCTGGTTAGTTTTCTCTACCCAATTTCAGTGTGGCAATTTTTATTAAGTACTTTTAAGTATTAACGTATTCGTAAAATATTGAACCATATTTCATGATACTACACTCGAATATAAAAATACTTCATGATAACATTCTAGAAATAAAAATAAAAAAACCACCGAAATTAGGTAGAGAAAAACTAACCTCAAGATCACCCAAAAACCGATTATGATGCACGCTTTGTGAAAAACAGTTACTCTTCTATACTGTATTAATCCATACATAACCCAGTGCTGGGCACAGGCTCCTCTAAGCTTTTTTTTTATACATGACAGGCAAATGGAGTCATTTCATTCCACCTGATGTTAAGTGGAAAGTGGTATCCAAACGCGAAGGAACCTAGTGCAGCGATGAAACCCTCACTGCACTAGCCACCTCCACTCTGCCTGCCTACAATATGCCTCTTCACGCCTCGTTTGAAGGACCCCATATCATAAGAGGGAGGGAAGACATGTGCCGGAAGGGAGTTCCATTTGTCAACCGTGCGGCAGAGAAAGGAGCCACCGAACCTTTTAGTACGCGATGGAATGCGGCAGGTAGTGAAACGGTGACTACGAAGGCCAGCACGCGTGCTTCTGAGCAGGAACGGGGAAGGGGGGATGGGTTAACAGAAGATAAAGATTTTTCATTAATTTTATAATTATTTTATTGAAACGAATTTGTTTCATTACAGTGTCTAGGTGTTTTAAATACGGAATACATATTTTAACAGCAACTAGAAACAAGTACCTACATAAAAGTGTTAACGAGTAACTAGTTTGACTAGAAAAGTTTAATTATTGATTAAATATTATATATTTAGATATGGTTACGTATGAATATTCGAGTATATAGAAAGGGTTCAGGGATAGCATCCGTTAAGTCACATTTAGATATTTTTGTTCTAGGTCCGAAATGTTACGCCTACATAGATTTTAAGACTTTCGTGGTTATTCACTAAATGATTATCACTAAAATCAGGTTTCTTACCACGGTATGACTTCTTTTTATTTTCCCGATGTTTCAGCAAATTAACGTACAGAGACTACCAGTTTTTCTGCCCTATATACAAGGGGTGACAGATAAAATAGCCAGGTTTCTAAGGATGTTTTCCATAAAAACTGTTTCCAAAATAGGAAATATGTTACGTTCACCAAAAGACCACCTTTACAAACACCGGGTGTCTATAAAGTGAACTGCAGTTGTGGGAGATCGTATATCGGTCAGACTAAACGAACAATTGTCGATCGTATGAAGGAACACATCCGAGCAGTAAAAAACAATGATGCACAGAAGTCGGCTATAGCACAACATCTCACACAGACTGACACTAACCACTGGATCGAGTTGCATAGCCCCCAGATACTCTCGACAGAACGTCACTACATGCCACTGTTGGTACGAGAAGCCATCGGATCACGAAGTGCAAAACATTTAACCGTGATGATGGTTTTAAGCTGTCCAGTGCATGGAATCCGGTCCTTAGTGCGTGCAGTAATAAAAACACCTCGAGTTCAGTTTCGCGTGGATACAGTGAGTGTGGTTTGTGTGGAAAAAAGTGAGTGACAACGGTAACGCCACGACAAATCGCGATGAAGGTAGTCGTCGACAGCGCAAGAGGGTAGACAGATATGTCTGCTTTTAAAGCTGTCATCTGCCGCCGTCCAGTCAATCCGTGACCATGGAGCGTGCAACCGTTCCGAAATATCGGGAAAATAAAAAGAAGTCATACCGTGGTAAGAAACCTGATGTTACGCCTACTTTTTAGAAGGAATGTCTATCGTAAGATAGCAATAAAAAAACCGAACAAAGTATATTTACCTAAACTTTATAGTAACACGTATAGAGTGGATATTACCTCTCTCTGAAATCCCGTAATGATGAAATAATTAAAATACAATAGACATATTTTTACTTGTTCCTCCCGTCACTTGATGTTACAAAAAAATACAAAATTTTCTTCTACCGTGACCGCGTAATTGCTTTACAATTTCGTATGGCAAATTGTATAGCGCCTCTAGCGGTTACAAGAAGAAACAAGATTTTGTATAAAAACTTTCATATAATTATATCTATAAGTATATGATATATTCATTTGTAAGGTTTGTTATAATACACAAAAATTTTATTACGATATCAGACAACCAAAAATGTTTGCAATGTAGATAGACTTACGGTCGTTTATTACAGTGTTTTATATTAAACAGAAATGTGACTATAACGGATTCTGCCACACAATTATAATTAACTAAAGTCGCGTTCCTTACACTTTATAGAATAACAGTGGACTTGCCACTCACATTCTCACATTTATAACACATTTAATATTTTAAGAAATCACAAAGATATGTCATAAGATTATGCAATTGGATATTTATATATATACAAATTTTAATACACTCAGTCAGTACTATATGCCCTAAGTGTGGTTACACACGGCGAGAGCGATATAGTGTCAAAAAGCTATTATGGAACCATTGACTTACAATTATATGGACGTCGGGTCCGCGCTAAAAAGTGGCCGAACTTATAGGGCGTTAAAATCGTATACAGAGCGTCATTCACGCTTTAGTCTTCGTTTGTTCGACTGACAGCGAAGCAATCAAAATTAGACGGTACTGCGATGACATTACAATTTAAATTCAACGTTTTAGCTTTTTCATATTCCTTTACATGTCACTACGTTTAAATAGGTTGGCTTGGCACATGTTTTTCGTGGTTTTTGTATTAGACCCGTCGTCCATTTATTTGTAAGTCAATGTATGGAACATTGTTATCGTGGAATACGTCGATAAGTTAAAATGGGACCGTCGCCATGTTGTAAAAGTTTAAAAATCGAATTTGTCCTACTGGCAACGCAAATACAAAATATTTTTTCAGCCTTTAAATTTCAAGCCAGCTTAATGTGATCTTGGAAGAGTTTGGTGAACCTTTTCTCCACGCTTCATTTCTTACTTAATAAACTAAACTACACACATGATTTAAAAAGGACTTAAACGTTACAGACCCGCGTTGGGATTCGAACCTGCAATCTTTTTTTACTAGTTAAGCGTTTTCCCAACCAGGCTATTTGCCACTGCTGTAATATTTGTATAGGTATTTATATATCGGCATTAAACGAAATATGAATGTTGGGTAGAGGAGCATGGCTCGGGTGCGTGTGCGCAGCCCACGAGCACGCGACACGACGGCACAGGTGACGATGAGTACTGCTGCAATAAATTTGAAGAAATATTAGTTCACTCACTTTCATAAATTATAGATGATAGATTCAGGCGTTGGTTTCCGCAAATCCATGCCTAGTCGCCCCTCGAGTCTCGCCGTCTGTGCGATGTAACTTAACGTGAATAAAATAAGAACACGCGGAGAAACTTTTACACAGATCCAACGTCGACAAGCGCCCGATGGCGACTGAAGGGGCAGCGGGTGGCGCGGCGTGTCTTTAAATCGCTGGGAAATTTACAAATTTTTGGGACAAATCTAAATTTAATAACTAAAGAACTTACATTTTTATTTACGTTGTTTTCAGGATTTTTTTATATGATCGGATAAACAAATGAGCACATTCTTTAGACGATATCCTTAGGTGTATCGTATTTTTTTTGTACGACCATTATTTAATAGTAAATAACTAAACTATTTGATGTAGCAACTGCCTTTTGCCCTATGCTCGATTCCCGGGCCGGGAGTAATATTTCGACTTATCCGAAGAACAGAGTCCGGTGTGATTATATAGCGAAAAGAGTATAAGTACATTACGAGAATAATTTCGTTATTCAAACTAAGGCCTATGTAAATGTGCTTTGAGAATTTATATATTTATTCCGTTTCGGAAATATAAAATCGAACAACGGTCGATCTGACATCCACAGCGAAGAAGAACGAACGAAATGTACTATGTCCTGAGAACAAGTAGTCTTACACATCATTGACTTACAATTATATGGACGTCGGGTCCGCGCTAAAAAGTGTCCGAACTTATAGGGCGTTAAAATCGTACATAGAGCGTCATTCACGCTTTAGTCTTCGTTTGTTCGACTGACAGCGAAGCAAGCAAAATTAGACAGTACTGCGATGACATTACAATTTAAATTCAACGTTTTAGCGTTTTCATATTCCTTTACATGTCACTACGTTTAAATAGGTTGACTTGAGACATTTTTTTCGTGGTTTTTGTATTAGACCCGTCGTCCATTTATTTGTCAGTCAATGTTACACATAGATCTTTGTTCTACGGATGAGTCGATTTGTAAGGCCTACATTTGTTTGTTTCGCGAATCTATGTGTATGTACATGGCACCCGCGACACAGGGTTTCCCGGGTGCGGGGCTATGTTGAGTGTGTGCGTTAATGAGCAAGACTGTTTTCCCCGCTTCTCCTCCGCTGGCTTGTCCAGTGAAGGTTAAATCGTGCAAAATAGCTGCGCTTGTGTTGAATATTTTTTTCATGCAGTTAATTTTATTTAAATAAAATAAATAACACTTGCGCTTGTGTTATATGCTACAGTCACCAACACTACCCCACAGAAATATACGAGACACGTGTTGCACCTCTCTACGAGGTGTCCTCAGGAGACTTTGATTGGTCGACTCTCGGCAAAGAAATTGAAATGGAAATGGTTCCGTGGCTTTCGAAGGCAATAAAAAAGTATGTCCATTTTCATTATTATTTTCATAAGCAATTACTCTACTGCGTTTTTTTTATAATGTTTTAGTATCGATTAAGGATTATTCAATCAATATTTTTATGAAATATAATGATTTGTTTTTTTAAATGACTAAATAAAATCTGATAATTGTTGTATTGTCAATTTGTTATGTATACACATTGTAAATAATATGTGACCAAAAATTACGTTACGGTATAAGAAGACAAGCAAAGAATTTATTATTATGTGTTATTATGTGTTTATTTCGTTTAAAATAACTCTGTAATTAAAAACTGTACAACTTTAGGATTGAGGACATTACGTAAAATTATTGCGAGTGGCAAGTGCATACTGTCTATTACCTACTAATGACGTCACGCGTGAGTTGACGTGTAGAGACGACAACGCGGTTTTTTTAAAGTTAGGGACTTGAAAACTTTTAAAATGATATTTTAAATTTTTATTGAATTGATATTCAATTATTTTTTGTGAAATTACTCCACTGGTTTGTTGTAATCATTAATACAAAAGATCGAACACTCAGAAAAAATTCCTTCGATCCGGTCGGATTCGAACCGACGTCTTCTTGCATACCGTGCCAGACGCTATACCAACTAAGCCACGGAACGAACCAACGGACCCAACGAATTTTTCTATGTGCTTGCGTCGTGTCTTTGTATTTGGTTTTTCAACGACTTTTTAGTCGTAGCGCCATATATGAGAAATCTATGAAAGATTTTGCCGTGCCTTAGTTGGTATAGCGTCTGGTACGGTATGCAAGAAGACGTCGTTTCGAATCCGACCGGATCGAAGGAATTTCTTCTGAGTGTTCGATCTTTGTATTAATGATTACTACTTTAAAATGATAATTTGATAATTGTATATGGTTATCATTGACTTACAATTATATGGACGTCGGGTCCGCGCTAAAATGTGTCCGAACTTATAGGGCGTTAAAATCGTATACAGAGCGTCATTCACGCTTTAGTCTTCGTTTGTTCGACTGACAGCGAAGCAAGCAAAATTAGACAGTACTGCGATGACATTACAATTTAAATTAAACGTTTTAGCTTTTTCATATTCCTTGACATGTCACTACGTTTAAATAGGTTGACTTGGGACATTTTTTTCGTGGTTTGTGTATTAGACCCGTCGTCCATTTATTTATAAGTCAATGATGGTTATGGTTAATTTTATAAACTTTACAAAAGTTGTCCGATTCCCTATATTACTGTGATAGTGGTTAGAACAAAATGTATGCTATTGTAAGTAAAAATATGACTATATTGTTATAATTTTTTGCTTTTTACTTTCATCATTCCAGAACCTATTTTAGAGGGACGTATTATTAAGTGTTTTACACGAAGTTTAGTCTTAATTTAAATTTCCAATTCCGATCACCGATCATCGTCGACAATTTGTGACTTACATTCTGGCAGGAGGCAAGCTGATTGACAGTGATGTTGGTTGTCCCCAGAACACGCTCTTCGCGAGTGAAGTCCGGCTCGCGGTGGAACGAACCTGACCAAAACACACAAAATAACGAGAATCATATTTTTTTCATATTGAACCGACGTCAAACCTTATGAAGAGAATGAACAACTTTTTTTAATATTTATTCTTCGTTTTATTTTGGCATTAGTAGTAAAAATTTTCGGGCAGGTTAAGGCATCTGATTAGCCATGCTGCCTTTCGACCATTTAATTTTCTTATATTTTTTCGCGTGAAAAATTTAATGTGTTTACGGTGGCCATTTTGAAACTCAATTTGAGCTAGAAAAAATTTTAGGTTTTTTATCATTTCGTCATTGTGTAATCTAAGCAATTTAAAAAAAGTGAAACTTGTCGCTTACCACCGCCTGTTACTTGATATCACAAAAAATATACTAATTTCTATAGCTTCAACGGTGAAAGATCAAATCGTGACAAATCCTGCAAGTTGGAGAAGGTTTCCTGAGACAAGGGAAGTGACCACATAATAGCCTGAACCTTTCACCTTGGCAGAGGCAGAATTACATACATAGACAGAATTATAGAAGTAAGTCAATAACCTGTAAGGAATTTTGCAAAAAATGAACACGTTGTGGGCTTGACTAATATAGGTACTCAAAAATGAACACTGCCAAAATAATTAATAAAAAATCCTTTATGTAATCTGAAAAGAAAGAAGTAATAAATAACAAAATGTTGGGTCAAAAATTCAGTGGTAAAACGAGGATTAATGTCTAAAATCATCTAAAATGTAATAAATAAGTTTCCGGAAAGATTATCAAAAAATACTATAAATGGTCAGAAATGAATTTATTGTTTCTTCAAACATTCTCCGTTAGCGTTAATGCACTTTTTCATACGAATGTACCAATTTTGAAAACATTTATGCCACTCCTCCGTGACAATTTCTGAAACATATTTTTCACACTCTTCGACAGCCTCTTCAGGTGATGAAAATCGTTGACCGCGTACCTGGTTCTTAATTTTTGGAAATAAATAAAAGTCACAAGGTGCCAGGTCGGGACTGCACGCGGGATGGCTCATAAAGTCAACGTTGTTCACCTTCAAAAATTCATTTGATTCATGGGACTACCGCCCGCATCGAGTATATAACCAGAAATAGAGACGAAATAAGGGCCATATATTCCTGGTAACACATTAGCGATACAGCTCTTATAAATATCAACTCCCGTTTGCGCTGAAATATAGACAGGCCAACTACTGACCTGAGTGTACGAATCCGTATATTCCAAAAAATATTCAGTATTTATTGTAATAAAGATAATCAGATCTCTAACATTGCCGTGCTGTTCTGTTCGGTGGTGTGGGAAACACATCATCGGTAATTAAATATGTAATTTTGCAATTTTCGTCCATTATAGCAAAGCTCAAGTTAACTGGTCGATTTGAAGTGAAACAGTTGACGACACCCGTCAATTGTTCGAACTCGGGCTAGCCAATCGGAGCGCAGTTGACACGGTAATGATATCGCAGAATAGTTTTCAAACAAATTAAATGACATTTCGTCTCTATTTCTGGTTATATACTCGATGACCGCCCGGGAGTCCCATATAACCGCTTGATGCTCCCCGAGCCGAGTGGTATGCGTAACACATTTCCTGGCGATAAAAAAATTAAAATATAGTTTAGCGTCTACTCTTCTCATTCCCCTAATAACACTCAATCTATAACAACCTTTTCGACATTTGCGATCGGGGAAAATGACTTTTATTTATTAAGAGTTTTGGCCTGGACACAAGTCCTTTTAGCCATGTCTTCGTTTAATTATCGGGATCCTCAATAAATATTTTCTAAGTAGTTCTAAATACATTACGTATTAACTTTCTCTTAAATAACTTATTATGTTTTCACTTTGAACAAAAACTTTGGATTCGTAATTGGTGGAATTTTCTGGATAAAATCTTTTGTTGTTAAAATAAGGACTTTCTAACTTTCGTCATCACTATTTCTTTCTTCGTATTTTCTTCATAATATACTTAAAATAAAAATAATCTTTGTAAAAACTGTACTTGTAACTTCAAAAGCCTGCCATTTTTCGATCGGATTTGCTGTTTGTGTGTTGAGTTGCTCACCATCAGACCGAGGTACTAAGTCAGGGTTAAGCTCGACGTGCTCGCGTCGTAGTCTGATAGCTCTGATGCAGAGTCCGGTGGCAGCAACTACCGCGACTACTGCTACAACGCCAGATGCCAATTCTATCCAACCTGTCCATGATGAGGATGGAACCTCTTCTGTCACCGCTGCAAATCAACATGGCACATAAGTAACGTTTCAAGGTGTACATATTTTATATTTTAGGACGGTCTCCGAGTGACTTGCACATCGGTGTTCGTGGTGCCATTTCTGAGGTCCTGGGTTCGATCCCCGGCCGTGTAGGAAACTAACTTTTCTATACTGTCTCGCGTCTGGGTGTTTGTGGTGGAGTCGTTGTTTCCGATTTCCATAACACAATTGATTTAGTTGCTTACTTTGGAATCAGAGCAACGTATGTTAGGTTGTCGAATATTTATATATATTTATTATTATTTATATGCCATTTCCTTCTCATGAACACAAACAATTCTTCTTCAAAGATAAAGTTAAAAAGTGAAAGAGCCTCTTCATGTTCTACATTTTTTCCATAGCGGCTGGCGTACACACGCCTCCATTAATACGGATGCCACTGACAAAAACTAGTTTTATTTCCTAGACGCCAAGTCTAGTCACATGTTATGAATTTTAACGTTATATTAATTCAATTGTCCTAACTTAAAGAAAAACATAACAGAACACAAACTGCAACTATGAATCCATACTATAAATAACACATGGTTTCATTGACGCTTTAAAGCGTCTATGGCAGTCACAAGGTTAACGAACAGACTTAAAAATAATCAGTACAGAGTACTAAAAAAACCGACCTCAAAAGTACGTGGAATTACATCTATTTGCTAAGTTTCATTGAAATATCCCCTAGTTCGCCACTGTACAGGACTTGATACTGGAGATAATAAAAATAGGTTCTCACTACGACACTACTCAAAGTATATCGAGAGAAAAACGCCTTGAATTGGAGAAATAGCAAAATCAACTAAATAATTGCTAAAAGTAATTGCTCCTAAATTAAAGTCAGGCGCTATTTATAAAAATAAATCTTCATGCGTGAACAGCCACCCTTCGAGGCAAGGTTAACTAACAGACTTAAAAATAAGGAGGTTTGCAATGCGACTGTATTTTTTTGTACATTACGCAAATTCTCCGATATTTATTAATCGATTTCGATGAAAATTAAAGAATAGAATAAGTTAAAAGTTAACATAGTCAAAAGGTACAATCGGCTGCTTTATTGCTAAACAGCAATCTCTTCCAGGCAACCTTTCAAATTATTACGGAGTTATAGATGAAGGGCAGTTTATGTTGCTCAAAGCAGCTGAACGGTGTATAAATTGAACCGGTTACACTCTTTCATAGAACGTACTACATAACATACATACACATTGCTACGTATACCTATACTAAATGTGTAAGAATATACAATACATAGAATACACTTGTGAAATTTATATACAATTTTATTTTATAAATTTAGCGTTTCCAAGGACGTTTATCGGACACCCACGTTGCGTCACACGTCGCGGTCCATACGTGTAAATAAATAAATAGTTTTTATCATATTATTACGTATGTTAGTCTATAAGGTATGTGTTTTATGAGTCTTTTGTAGCTTGAAAATAAATAAATAAAAAGTTATATCCCTCCACATTCATACCTAGCACTCTTCTCGTCACATGACATGCTTCTCTCCGCATGACATGTCCATACCTGCTAACCTGTTACTCCTCATCTTTTCCGCCACTGGCGCCACTGCCGCCACTTTCAAACTTCCCCTGATGTACTAATTCCTAATCCTATCCTTTCTTGTCACTCCACACATCCATCTCTATACAATTTATATACATATTTTAATTTGGATAACGAATACTTAACTAAGTGATAAATAATGTCCATTTACCAGTTCCTTAAATGAGTCGAGCGAATGATTGGAAAGTGGTTACTTTAGAACTAGTCCTGTTCAAATTTGTAGACAATATTCAATCTCTAAGGGTGACTAATTAAGGGAAGAATCCGCTATAATAGATTTCACGCATTTTCCGTTAATAAAATCATAATAAAAATCAATAAAACTTCTTAGGTTTTCGCGATTGTTACACATAGGAAATGAAACTATTTTTTCGGATTTAAATCGACATCGATAAAATTGACGGTCAGCCAACCGTGACCATTGGGCCTGTAAAGGGCCCGAAACGTCGGTTTTTTTCAAAAAACAGATATACGCTATTTAAATCCGGAAAAATAGTTTCATTTCCTATCAATAAAACTTGGCAAATAAGATGTAATTCCACAAACTTTTTAGTTCGGTTTTTTTAATAAAACATTTATAGCTTAGTTAAAATACGGTCTATGCTATTCTAAAAGATATAAACTTGGAAAGCTAAGTATAATTATTTATAAAATCATTCATAGAAATAGCAAAGAAAATCACCTGAAGCACTCAAAGGCGTTAGCATTTGTAATTGCATAGTCTTCGGGTCACTACGTCCTCGTGTGTTACTTGCATATACTACGGCAGTCAAGTTACGTCCCTCTTCAAATTCGGGGAGTTGAAAATGGCCTGCTGAGTCTGTTACGTTGTAGAATGTTGTACCGTCTTCTGCTATTAGCTCTAGGTGGATTGTTTGGGCTCGCCCGCCATCCCAGCCTGGTGAAAAATAAAATGTTCAATACTCTGACAGACACTTGAACGAAACAGTGAGGATTAAAAAAATCTAAAAGGGTTTTTATCTTATCGATAAGGCTTTCGGAACCAGAATATAAGTACGCGAAGCAAAATCATCCATTTTATAGAAACCAACCTTTCTTGCATTGCACTCGAAGTGAGTTCGGATAAGACCGCAGCACGACACACTCTGGAGTATTTGGTGGTCCCCCAGGAGCAACTGTGTATGCGCAGGCGCGTTTCTGCTCGCCGAACGAGTTGGTAGCCCGACAGAGGAGAGGTCCGATATCGCCGTCACGAGGCAACCATGTCAGCGTCGACAAGTACCGGTGATGATGGCCTGGTACTTTCTGAAGAAATTGCAAGCCTCGTAGAGTAAGTCAGTAAGTCCTCTAGAGCAAGTTATGGAATGTCCGTTTTTAGAAACGTGCTATGTATCGTTACAAAAATTCGCTTCTATTCCGTTCCGCCGCAATATAAATTGAGCCTTAGAACCGCAAGAATAAGTCGTTCGTTTGGTCATAAACAATACGCCTGTCCGCAGCAGCAGCAAGGGACACTGCCACTGCGCCCACGCAATATGCTCATATTTCTCTGGAGGATCCTTTCACAAAGAGCTCTACTGCTACGGATTATTGCTATAATAATGTTACAGAAAGTTTGAGGATCATCCCGTAACTTTTGTCACAATAACCGCTCACGCGATGCGCTCATCCTACCGCAAAATGGCGGCTATTTGGTTTCGCAAATTAGAAAAGGATTCAGTTTAAATACAAGTTTTTATAAACAAAAATTATTATTCTGCATTGCAAAATAAATACCCTCCGTACTACAACAAAAACATCTCAAATAAAATGCAATAATACACCGCAAATCCTGCACTTAAAAAGCACTAATGAAATTTTTGGTGTACTTGGGTAAATATGAAAATATTCCGTTTGAGTGGTTCTAACGTTTACCATGAAATTACTCCTTAAAGTATAGTTTATAAACATTTATATTCAGGGTAAACTTAAAAACTTTACTTACGGTATATTTTCATTAAATAAACACCGAAATCACCAGCCCAAACAATAACACACACGATTGTCGTGACGTATTTTTGAAGTTGTTTTTTTTTTTTTAATGACAGACCCAGGCATTAAAAACTTTATAGTTTGCTAGAGTAGTTACCGAAATAGCAATTAATATTAGTTCTTTTACCTGTTATAACTTCGATATCCGATAAATCGGTATAAACTCATCACCGGCACCTCTAGGTGTGGTATGCGTCTACGGCTGCATGTATCGCGTGAGCGGATAAGAAGTCTTAAATGGGAACACACGAATCGCGACTATACTCATTTGTACATAAGTAAATAAATACCTTAACACTAGTGTACAAAATTCGCGAATCAGCGAAGGTCCAGCTGAACTGCAGGGGCTCGGGCGTGGCGTCCACCACGCAGGTGATGGTCTCCGCTTCCCGCAGAATCGCGCCCACCGTCTCATCGCGAGTCGTCAAGCAGATTGGTCGGACTGGTAAACAGGCAAGATCATGGTAGACACCGTTTTCTAAACTTGGCCTGATTACATGTTCCTACACAGTTCTGGGGGTGTACTTTCGTTCTTCGTCGGAAATCTGTTCGAAACAATGACTGTCAAATAAGTAATTAAAAAAATTTTAAGGAAAAAAAATATTTTGATGGATTTTTGTGTAAAACTGCAGGCATTCTAGGGTTTTTAAGAGTTGTGGTAGACAGCAGTACTACTTAGGTGGCCGTTAAAATTAAAACATCAGAAATATCTGAAAAATTGTGGTCGTGGTGATTTAAAATATCATTAAGGGAGTAAATTTTCGAAGAATAACAATTTTTTTATCGTAATTAAAAAAAAAATTATATAAATTTTTTTTCTTATTTTTCCTCAAGTAGTTATGCGCAGGTCCACCCTCCAGCGCCCGCTTATCGTTGAATTTTGGGACACGCTGTATGTCAAGTAGGAATTCATTTGCATCCATGCGTCTTCTAATTAGGTCGAGTATTAATTATTTGACAATAATTGTTTCGGACGGAATGTTGGACGGAGAACGAGAGTGCAGCCTGGGCCCCTATTGAGAACTCTTCGATGTTTTAACCGAATCGTTCTATTGGATTTCGTTCTCGAATCGAAGGGCGCTTTCCGAGCTATTCAGTTACGCGTTAGATTCGGATTCGGATACGATAACGGTATACATTTTAAGACTTTAAAAGCCTAAAATATAGGAATGCATTAGACTTGCATTAAAATAAATTAATGAAATTGAACAAAATCCAGATTTTATTTAAAATAATAAGAGATTTCCATATAACATTCTTGCTTTGTAAACAATAGGACGTTCGGTAACTTTCATTCGATAACTGTGTTCTGAATAACGTTTGTTATCTTTGCCGGTCGAGAAGTTCGAGTAATCGTACGGTTGTGACGCCATTTAGGTTCGGTTTCGAAAACGACAGTTTGACGTTCGCTTTGGGTGTTGTAAATAAGAATGAAAAGAAATTGTACGACAACTGAGTTATCCTAAGGTTCCGAGCAGTGTATTTTTTTAGTTATTCCGGGTAGTAGAAGAAGGTAAAGGATGTGACGACGCTGACTTCCTTCATCCCACTTTTTTATCATCCTCTTTTCAAGTTCATGATCTAAAATTTTGAATTCCTTTGAAATTTTGAAATTTGAATTTGAATTTGAGTTCTCGAATTACCTTTCCCATCACTACTCCTACCTTTATTCTACCCGTCGTCACAACCGTCAAATTTTTTGAAACTAGTGAACGTGCCTCTTAAATCACAAATCACATTAATTTTGTTAAGCTTCCAGTCGTTTACTATTCAAATTACATAGTTATATTAGCATTACATAGCGTTATTGGAGTGAGCATTGTGTTATTTACGTTTACAGGGAATGTTTTATAATAATTGTACCTCTTCTTTTTATCAATTTATTTGTTTTAGTCTTTCTTTTCCTCTTTTATCATCTCTTACAATAAATCTTGTGGATCATTTGCGTTTCTCTAATGTTACATGTTAAGAGTCTTTATTTATTTAGAAATATAGAAAATATACGGTGTGAAAAAATGGTACCTAAACATTTTCACGATTAAATAAAAACACAAACTCACCTCGAAAAATTACAAGAAAACCGCTGTATTCAATAGGTATTTTAGATATACCAATGATTTTTTTTTTATATCAACTGAACTAAATAGAAGACGTATAATACGATATACATTTTTTAAATGGATTTTAATGCGTTTGTAAAAAAAACAATTCACAAATAAAGCCAATGTCCTTGCTGCTCGATCCAAGCAAAGTGAATCGTATTAGTAAGGGAAAAATTTTAATTGCTTAAAAAATAGTTCAAACTTACAACCGACATGCAACGTCACTTTGTCTTCGAAGACAGCAGCAGGCAGATGCGAGTTGTGAGCTCGGCAAATCAGTTCATGGTCATTGTCCCGCAGCGAGGGCGCCAAGGTTAGAGACGACACTGTGTAGTTGCCATCGTGGAGTTCCTGCCAAGGTTCATATCTATTTAAGAGTTTTTGCCTACTTTAGTGGGTCCTTCTGAGGTCAGATACACGTTCTGTTCATAAACCTACACAATAATAAGGCTTAGGAGACTTTTGGTGGCACCAAAAGCCGCTTTTAAAGAATGCAATTATAATCTTCATAGAAGTTCAACCCAAATGACTCTATTATTAAATATTAAGGAACTCGTTGTGAATTTTGCGGATAATGGGGTCTGTTAATTTTTGGTCTGTGTCTTCACTAGATCTCAGGTACCTTGTGGACGGTGGATCTGAGTAGAGTCTGCCCGAGATGCCACGTGATGGAGGGGGGAGGTACGCAGCCTACCACCACACAGTCCACGACGCGTGGTTGCCCAGCCTCGAAGTCCACGTTATTGTTCAAACGGATTTCCACGGTTAAAGGCGGAACTAAAACAGTATATATAAATTACACCTGTAACGAAATTAACTCTGGTGACACCACCCAGAACATCGGTGATATCGCATATGAAACTCGTTAAGTGTTTTCCGCCGCGACCAAAATTTAAAGCCGGATTAACATTTGTCTGACGTGTCGTGGCGTAACGCGTCAGATGGTTAGATTTATATGAGTGTGTCGCAATCTGACGTGACAGACACGTCAGACAAAATGTAAATCCGGCTCCACTATCGAATTCAGTTTATTTTGTTCTTATATTTAAATTAATCGTAAATATAGAAAAAGAAATATTTTGTTATACTACCATGCTACTACTTAATTATATTAGTTTCTATGTTTATTGTTTCTAATATTACAACTAAAGGGCTTGAATTTAAAACCATGAAATACACTGAAGAAAACCAAAAATTTACAAAAGATCGTTTCTAACAAAGCGCCTTAAATGTAGAATAAACGAGTGGACGAGGAGAAGACGTGCTTAACGTCAGAGCTACCGAGGTGGCTACTACAGGCTGACCCGATGTAAAGCGTATCTATATTCAAAGACGAGTCGATTATCTCTAACGTGGACGGTCGATAATCGCGAATGTTTAGACGAGGAAAGTTTTTTATATCCTTTCGATAATCGAGAAACTCTCTCCATCTAAATGGGCCTTTATGGTACGATAATCTTATGGCGATTATTACTTACGATAATCGCGTACGATTTTTCGTCACGAAGCGTGCGATAAACTTTCTCCATCTAAATGGGCCTAAAGACAAGAATTAATGAAACGAGAACGAAAAAACAGGTTGGGTTAAGGAATGTTGTAAAATTTAAAAAAATAATACAGTTCTATAAAGTGCACTACGAGTGTAATGAACCTAATATTAGCAGCAGTTCCAAATTTGTATGATTTTTGCGTCATTTTGATATATCCATAGTCGATAACGCAGTAATCACTGAACTCGATGGCAATTCTCGCACTCAAAACGGTTCGAACCGATTTGTACGATAATGTCATACGAGATCGTGTTGTACAAGTCGAAAACACGTAAGCAAGAATCTCCTTACTATATATTTCTCTGTGTAAACAGTCGAGGAGGCAATAAAGCTGCTTGCAAATCTCGTATGACATAATCGTAGGCGAGATTTTAGTTTTTGCCTGAATGTAAACATTATGATACGATAATCTTATGGCGATTATTGCTTGCGATAACGATTTTTCGTCACGAAGCGTACGATCAACGAGTATATAACCAGAAATAGAGACGAAATGTCATTTAACTTGTTTGAAAACTATTCTGCCATATCATTACTGTGACAACTGCGCTCCGATTGGCTAGCCCGAGTTCGAAACAATTGACGGGTGTCGTCAATGGGTGTCGTCAACTGTTTCACTTCAAAAGGACCAGTTAAATTGAGTTTTGCTTTAATGGACGAAAATTGCAAAATTACATACTTAATATTTAATTACCGATGAAATGTGATTCCGTTTGTTTTGTAATTAGATGTTTTGCTGTTTTTCCCACACCACCAAATAGAACAACACGGCATTGTTAGAGATATTATCTTTATTACAATAAATACAGAATATTTTCGGAATATACGGAGATGTACACACAGGTCAGTAGTTGGCCAGTCTATATTTCAGTGCAAATGAGAGTTGATATTTATAAGAGCTGTATCGCTAATGTGTTACCAGGAATATATGGCCCTTATTTCGTCTCTATTTCTGGTTATATACTCGATGCGTACGATAAACTCTCTCCATGAGCTTTAAATCGTTTTGTGTGCACTTACGATACATTTTGACGACAACACTAGCACTGAGAGGGTCGGTGACGTCTGCGTTCTGGGCGAGGCACTCATAATGCGCGTCGAGCTCGGCGCGTGTGACGTTCTGCACGCGCACCTCGGCGCGCAACACGCGTGGGCGCACGCTGTGCGCACGCTCGATCACTACACCATTACGCCGCCAGTACACCAGTGTGTCCGGCTGATCTGTAAACAAATAAATCTAGGGTCGGCAGACTAAAGCACATAAGTGATAAAAGTGCTTCATTTGTTAATATATAGGGTAAGGATGCCGACATGAGATACCATTTTTATTCTTGCCCGTAAAAAATAAATTATTGCACAATATTAGACAGGGAATTTAATGTATTTTATCTATGAAAGACAGTTTAGTCCTAAGTATAATATTTTTTTTATTATGTCAGATATTATTAAAAAATTCAGAAATTACGTCTCGAGCAAGTGGCCGCCTGTTGTGAGATACTAAGGGTTGCTAATATGAGATAGTATCTCAAATTAGGTTCCTTTGGGTTTGAGATTTAGATTTAGAGAATAAAGAAAGAAATTGTTTAAATTAAACATTTTATTGGCGAGACTTTTTAATCAATAACATCGTACTTCAAATTATAGGTCTAGTAACGACTTTATAATAAATATTCAACTTACATTATAATCGATGTCAGATTCTTAAGAATCACAGTGATTTTCTTAAACAATATCAAAAATCAACAAATAAATAAAAGACAAAAGTAGTTTTCTAAACATTAGATATATCTAAACACAAAGAACATAAAAATCGATATGCTAAAACTTCTCCACAATCCTCATGAGTCTACTTGAAACAGCCTTGACATTTAGCCCATGTTTCGCCTCTCGTGTCTTCTGAAAACCATCCGGTGCAGGAAGGACATTCAGCATCATATGATTCACCATCACTGCTGCTTTCTGCAAATCTTCATCCTCAGACCTTAATTTCTTTTAAATAGTCGTGTATGACGCTTACGTGTATCCTAATATGAGATATCTCATTTTAGGAACCCCAGAGTGTTATCTTTATCCTAATTATATATTTTTTTTGAGTTGGAAATAACCTCTTGAATAAAGTTCGAAATTTATGAAGCAACAAATGAATTTTACTTATGTACGTTAACCAGTAGATGTATTAATTTAAATAAACGATGTTGGATTTTGACTTATGTGCTTTAGTCCGCCGACCAAACTGTAGTCATATTAGAAGCAACGTTTTCTTGTCTTCTTGATTGGAAAATCTATTCCGCTTTTGAGGGTGGTTTCGCCAGAAGGATAGTATGTATAGTTCAAATTCAAATTCAAATTCAAAATAATCTTTATTTCATAGGTAAGCATTATTACACTTGAAATCGTCACAATGGTTAAACTCTACCGCTCATTCGTAAGGCAGATTCCCCTGAGAAGAATGAGCAAGAAACTCTAGGGGTTGCTCTTTGTAAATAACATTTACAATATTTTTTTATTTGAAACATCAGATTGAAACTACCTCCATGAGCTAAACGGGTTACTACCACGGATTTTTGTCATCCAAGTACGCAGAAGTTGTATAATAACCTTTAGTATAAAGTTTTTGTTTCACTATAGTTTTAAACCTCGTGAAAGGCAAATTTTGTATATCAACCGGAATCTTGTTATAGAAGCGTATACATTGCCCCTTAAATGATTGTTTGACTTTGTGAAGACGACTATCAAGAAAAGCTAGTTTATTTTTATTCCTCGTATTAATGTTATGTCTGTCACTATTTTTCATAAAGAAATTACTATTCCTTTTAACATAAATTATATTTTCATAAATGTATTGTGAGGCTAGTGTAAGAATGTTAATTTCCTTAAACTTATCTCTCAAAGATACTTTGGGGCCCAGATTGTAAATTGCCCTAACTGCACGTTTCTGCAGGACAAAGATATAGTGGTTATGCAAACATTTACCATCGTCAACCTCGCAGATGAGTGTCAAGTCGGAGCCGAGGCTGAGGGGCCCGAGGTATGCCCTCTTAATTTCCTCTCCTGCTTCGTCGTATATCCTCGGAGATCCCGGAGCATCTGTTCAAAATTAGTATAATAAAAATTTGTGTGACATTGTCCATCTGATCTTTGCGATTTAAAGCTCTTAGTGTCATTACAACTGTTATGTGTAGGCGAAAACTACACAAGATGAAGGTTTGATCAAATGACTATTTATTTATTTAGAATGGATAGACAACACAATACATATACAATGTATAGCTTATAAGCATTGCCTTACAAATAAATGGACGACGGGTCTAATCATTGACTTACAATTATATGGACGTCGGGTCCGCGCTAAAAAGTGTCCGCACTTGTAAGGCGCTAAAATCGTATACAGAGCGCGACACTCCGCTTTAGTCTTCATTTGTTCTACGGACAGCGCGATACTGCGATGACATAACAATTTAAATTTCGAATAGGTTGACTTGGGACATTTTTTTCGTGGTTTTTGTATTAGACCCGTCGTCCATTTATTTGTAAGTCAATGGGTCTAATACAAAAACCACGAAAAAAATGTCCCAAGTCAACCTATTCGAAATTTAAATTGTAATGTCATCGCAGTATCGCGCTGTCCGTAGAACAAATGAAGACTAAAGCGGAGTGTCGCGCTCTGTATACGATTTTAGCGCCTTACAAGTGCGGACACTTTTTAGCGCGGACCCGACGTCCATATAATTGTAAGTCAATGCTTATAAGGTACCGTTTTTATTACACGCACATTCTTTCTAACCATTGACCTTCCAACAACTGGACGACGGGTCTAATAGGAAAACCACGAAAAAATATCCTGCGTTAATCTATATAAACGTAGTGATACGTAAAGAAATATAAAAACAATGAAAACATTTAATTTAAATTGTACCGTCATACTACTGCTTAATTTTGCTTGCAACAATTTAAGGCCTAAAAATTCACCATATTAAACTTAGTGAAAACTACTTGAAGATAAGTGTTATGGAAATTAGCCTCTACTGGCAATATTCAATAATTTATATAGATACAATATCATGTACACGCGATTGATGCTCTTTTTGCGATTTTATGCTTTTTGATGTGGATACTTTTAAGCGCGAATCCAAGCGCTAATCCAATGTCGATTTCTAACTACAATTTAAATTTTTTATTGACCTATTGCCTTGTTACCACCTCCGTTACTTAAGTATCTAGCTTAGACATAGAATGCTCAAAAAGATCCGACTGGCACTGGAGCTAGTAGAAATTTTGCTTATTGTTATCATTGGAGGTGTTATTTCTTCATATAATAACACTTACCAACCAGCCGAACATCGATGACGTAGTCGACAGAGGGGGACGCCTGGTAATGTACACGGCAGCGATAGGTACCGGCGTCCTGGTGTCCCACTTTCTTTAACAACAGTGAAGTATCGTCATGGCAGGTTTCGCCATCACATGACGTGCCGAAGATACGATCCCGGTTCACCGCTCTGAAAGTATGTTTAAAATAAAATATATTTTTGTATTAAAAAAACCAACCTCAAAACTAAGCTTTTCCGTTTTCGCTGTGTTCCTTACCGAAACATCAACGACAATTGAAACACAAATGCAGGTCTCGTCAAAACTAATCAGATGGCCCCAAACACAAGGTAGCTGCTGGTCAGTTTAGTAGCAGCAGGTTTTTTTTTTAATAAAAAAATAAGTGTGCACTCTCCTCTATCTCCTCTATCTCACCTGATGGAAAGTGATGACGAGGTCGACGATGTAGCATGCACACCTAAATAATGCCTATTCACTCTCGCCTCGAAAAGGCCCAAGTCATAGCGTTCGGGAAGTAAGCCCGCAGGCAAGCAATTAAACTCTCTAGCGTCGCTATATAAATGTGGAGGCCAAAAGTTACGTGCAAATCCTGGGAATATCCACAACATAGAGATGGAACCCCAGCCCATGACTAGTCCCCCGATGATGGAAAGGAGAAGGCGGAATCAAATTATGCCATTCCATCGCACACTCTCCGCGATATATCTTGTAGAATATCGATAAGCAGGCAACTCTACGGCGGTGTTCAAGGGTAAGGATGCTGGTGAAGTTACAGGCATATGGGACTTGTCAACTTTTGTTTTAGAGTGAGGAGCGCATGCAGTGGTAGTGCCCCTCAAATCTTTGCAATTTAAAGCCCTGAGCGGCACTGCAACTGTTATGGACAGGCGTGTCTCTTACCACCAGGCGCACGACTTGTTCGTCCCGTTACTTGGTATCGTAAAAAAGCAAACTTTTTTTTTTTTTTTTTTTTTTTATGTTAACCAGTAGGCAAACGAGCAGACAAGCCACTTGATGGGAGGTGGTCATTGTCGCCCATGGACATGAGCAATACCAGAGGCATCACCCATGCGTTGCCGACTCCGGAGAACCTTGTTTACACGTCTTTTGAAGAACTCCATGTTATAGCGCAAGGGGAACACTTCAGGAGGAAGGCCATTCCACATCTTACTGGTTCGGGGAAGGAACGAACGAGATGCTCGAGTGGTCGTGACGTGCCAAGCATCGAGGAAGTGGGGATGGAGTCTTCTCCTTCGGCGGGTCGTGCAGTGGTAAAAGAGTGACGGAGGCACTAACTCAAAGAGTTCGTCTGAGCACTCCCCGTTATACAGACGGTAGAACACACATAGAGAGCCAACATCTCTCCGCAGACTAAGGGGCTCTAAATCGTCTGTGAGCATAGGGTCGTCGACAATTCGAACAGCCCGACGTTGGATGGAGTCAAGTGGATCAAGCTGATACTTGGGTGCTCCAGCCCAGAGGTGCGAGCAGTATTCCATATGGGGCCGAACCTGAGCTTTGTATAGCAAAAGCCGGTGCCCCGATGTGAAACACCGCTTCGCTCTGTTGAGCACACCAATCTTTTTAGAAGCCATTTTGGCTTTATTCTCCAAATGACCCCGAAACTGGACTTCGTTCGAGATGTCGACGCCAAGGATGCCTATACTATTAGAGGTGACGAGGGGAGTGCCTTGGAACTTAGGCGCTATAACAAATGGAGTTTTCTTAGCGGAGAACGCGCAAACTTGTGTTTTTGTGGGGTTAAAGCGGACAAGATTTTGTCGGCCCCATACGGAGACTTGCTCCAGTGAGGTCTCGATTTCAGACACAAGTTGTGCTCTTCCTTCTACCACTTCCTGTTGGGTCATATTTGCACGGCCAGTATAAAAGGTATCACCAGTACTGTCATCCGCATAGCAATGAATGTTACTTGTCAGTAACATATCATTGATATGCAGGATAAACAGGATTGGTGATAGCACTGACCCCTGGGGAACGCCAGCGTTGATGAGCATGGAGTCCGAGCAGAAACCGTCTAACGCAACTTTAATGCTCCGCTCTATCAAAAAACTGGCGATCCAGGTGCAAAGACCATCTGGGAGCCCGTAGGATGGTAACTTCGATAGAAGAGCCTTGTGCCAGACCCGATCGAAAGCCTTAGCTATATCCAAACTCACGGCCAATGCTTCCCCCCTGCTTCCACTTCCAAACAAAAGAAACAAATCCCACAGTGTAAAAATAAATGGCAGTAACTACTGCAGCAAACCAAAATTATGCGATTCTCAGAAAGGGTTGCCGTTGCACAGTGCAGGTAGTAAACCCGCCAGAGACGAGCGACACGCTTTGTTTTTATGACGGACCCTTGGCCGCGCGCTGGTTTCGCTAGCCAAATGAAGACTGTTAGACCGCGTTTGGACACGCGCTGAGATGCGACGCCACGCCAGAAGCAAGCGTCAAACCCAAGCCAACACATGGTATAAAAGGCCAAGCAGGACCAAGGACAAATCAGTCGAAGTTGAGAGTTGACATCCAGCAAACAATTGCTCTGTAGGCTGTCCCGATCACACACTGTGTAAACACTATCTAAGGTCTCAGTTCCGATCTACATCACTGCATAATTCGGTATAAGCAAAGAAGAAGCTCAGCTCTGAGTACAATTCGCTCTTCGCCTCTAACATTAATACGCCGTAACGTCAAGATGAAAACACAAGATCATACTTTGTGAGTCTCCTCTGGTCGCGAACATTGTAAATTTAAATAGGGTCAAGCTGTGTATACAATTATAATAAACAACTCGTCACGTGTTTACTTCTTGCGTCGGTGTTGTAAGTCAGCCGAGACGAACCCAATGCAACTGGGAGTGCAGTCCAATTGGAAACCCTAAACCAACTGAAGTGCCAATACGAATTATATTCCGAATAGAGCGAGTGGCGAGAAAATATATAGAGCGCTATAATTAAAATAGTAACATATAACGATAATACTTATTTATTTTAATGGGAGTTTCCACGTAGAGTTACGGGACAGAGATGTAGAGAAGAACACTATCTAAGTTATTTTGCTTACGTACATGGTTTAAAAACGATACCTCTAATGAAAACTAGGCGAAGTTTATTTTTTGGTCTTTTTCAGTTATTTTTGTAAACAACCATGTTTATTTATTAATATTATGCTCCCCAAATTTTGTGAAACAAAAATAAAAGAACATTAAACAATATTGAAAAACGAAAATGAAAAAAACTAAATAATAATAATAATAAACCATTTATTTCAGGCCATAGCCTACAAGAGAATGGTGTTAGTTACAAAAGAAAACCTTAAAACTGTGTTAGAATGATTGCAATGAATTTTGAAATATTGATAGAAAATTTAAATATTGAAATTTGGAAAATGCACAATTATTACTTAATTTGACCAATTGTAATGTTTATCCAAAACTTTAAAACTGTACAGTCAAAACGATGGGCAACATCTTCAGGATGCCATTGCCATTGCCATTGTCACGCACTCACTTTAGCAGAGCCGACACTTTTTTCGCCTAATGTCAGAAAGAAACAAAAAACAAAATAAGAACACAATAGGTTCAAAAAGTAAAATGTCATAGTGTTCATTGGAGGTATCGAAAAGGTCAATATTAATTCTTTGTTGCGAACAAACTTGCCTTCTCTCAGAATCTTCATTGGGAAATCGATAGAGGAACTCGCGGTCGTTCTTAAGCCACAGTACGTATGCGTCCGGGCCGTCCAAGAAGACCTTCCCTTGTCCGCAAGGCAACCGCGCGTCGCGACCTCGAACTGCCCTCAACACTACAACTTCTGCGGAACATCGAAATACATTCGAATCAAATCGTCGATTAGCAAACAACACCACTCCAAAAGGCTTTTACTTTTAAGCATGAAACACATACAATTCCATAAATAGACAACCTATTACTTAGGCTGTCGTATATTATAAGATTGTCGTATATTATTATTACTTATGCAGCTAGAATTTTTAGTAGCTCTACTAGCTAAAGAGTTTGTCCAGGGAACTACTGCTACCTTACCGATTTCTGCCGCTAAGCAGTAATGTCAGCATTACTGTGATCCGGTTTTGAAGGGTAAGGGTGCTAGTGAAATTACTAGGCACATGGGACTTGTCAACTTATGTCTCTGTGTGACGGGTGGAGTGGCTGTGCCACTCAGATCTTTGTGATTGAAAGCTTTGAGTGGCGCAACTGTTATGGACAGGCGTGTAGCTTACCATCAGGCGCACGTCTTCTCCGTCCCGTCACTAGATGTTATAATAAAATGCAGTTTTGACACTCTCTTTTAAAATTACTTCAACTGATTTGAGCGGTGTGGTTTGCAAATGAATGAATGCCATTTATCACAACGTTTATCACAACAAAAGGAATTCAGTCATTTTTGAGATTTTTGTACAAAAACATTATGCGTACCAACCTAATACCCTTATATACGTAGTACCGTATACCATTTATTTTAGGCATGATATCCTATAAAATGCCAGAAGTCAGGCGAAAATTGGCTCTTCTAAAATATATGTTTTACACACATACATAAGCTCACGCCATTGTCCCACAGGACGAGTAGGCAGAAACTACGAACGCCATCTTACTCTATCCTTACACAATCGAAAGTTGTGTCAGGATAGATGCATGAACTACCCACCTCACATGCATGAACTACCCATTTCATACAACTTCGTTTACTCCTGTCACTTCGGATCCCAACCTTTTCGAGGACATCACTGATCTGGTCAATGTAAGTTCTACTGGGATTCTTAAAACCGTTCCATCCACATTCGCGTCATAAATCTTTAACAATTTTTTGTTAATTTTTAGTAAGAGGATGTCTCATTAACCTTCCTTCATTAATTCAAATTCCTTTTTTTATCCTGCCAGTATCACGTTACGTCCTAGGTCTACTCGTTGTTTGACCCGCACAAAGATACTAAGGCGGATGCCATTTTACACCCTACCCATGATCGAATCCCGTAATAGAACTAAAGAATAGAATACCATAGAATAGAATATAATAACGCTCACATACTCATAGCCCCGCACTCGGGAAACCCTGTATCGCGGGTGCCATGGATACACCCATAGACAACCACAACTTACACCCACACTCACGAGGGAAATAAATGTAGGCAACACAAATATTTCTCCCGGCCCGGGAATCGAACCGGGGACCTCTGCGTGGTAAACCAGCATGTTAACCGTTCAGCACCTGAGGCAGTTATGATGTTAACATGTTTAATAACCAACTGAAAGTTTCAAACATCCGCTGGTTAGTATTTGTAGATGGTCGTCACCCAAAGCTCTGTGGTCCAAATTCCGCATTTTACTTTAACCGGTCAGTGATCGACTCAACCCTTACACTATGATTTACATATTTAGTTATAAGTACTGTAAGTGTAAATGGTACAAAATAAATAAGAAACAACAAACGACCGCAGGACGAGTACAAGTATAAACAAGTCTTATCAAATAAAGTTTTGTTCTGGTCACTAATGGCGCCGTATGTCAGCTTAGATACATTGGAAATCCATAAACACTGTGTGGCCGTGCTTACAGTATTATTTATTACAATCATGCCTCTTTCCCAATCCGCACTGGGCACTAGCATCAGTCTTGTGAACTAAAATCGCTTTGATCTGGCCTTTTTACAGACGTCCTAAATATGGTGCCTTAGAAGTACATAACTTTGAAGTTTACTTTCCACACAAAAATTATTTGGCGCAAATATCAATAGATATACTAAAATTGTAATGACTTGAACCTGTACTTCTAATGTACTATCAACCAAAAACAAACATATTTTTTTTTGTCCTTTTTTTCTGTGCGTTTATGCATGCTGATCACCACAGTGGTTGAATTAATTTGAATATAGTTTACGGTAAAGTATGTAGATAAACTTGGACGTAGATTAACATTTAATGTTTATTTTACTTAAATCGGTTGACAAATAAAAAAGATAAGGTAGTGGCACCAGTGACCGACAAACACCATTGGTCGACATTTTAATTTCTAATAAGATTTAGGACAAAATTTTCTATCATAGTAACACGTTTCTTATTAGTAAGTGTCATTTACCGGGTGTTCCTTATTGTAAGGGTCGATTAATGGATTTTTCGTCTTTATTACTAGACATTTAGAGAAATTCTAGTTAAGATTTTTAAAAATAATCTTTATATAATTCATTATTGTGATAATATACAGGTAAGGTACAATAAAAGCTTAAATACTGTTAAGTAAAACTAGAATTTTTAAATTATATGAATAAAATTGGGTCCCCGCGGCAAGGTGCCCAAGATGCTGGCAGGTTCTCCCTTGGGTTTCCCAAACACTGTATTAATGTTTTAGATAAAATTTTGTACAAATGAAGGGCACTGGGACCCCACAGGCTAATAATTACAATAGCTTTTTTTAAACATAATACAGCATAAACTTTCTTGAAGATTATGTCTGTTAAGTAAACTAGTCATTATTGATATTATGTTTAAAAACAAAAAGTTTTTTCAAATATAAAGACACTATTCCCTGTTTACAAACTATAACTTAAGGAATAATTTCATGGTAAACGTTAGAACCACTCAAACGGAATATTATCATATTTATCCAAGTACAACAAAAATTTCATTAGTGCTTTTTAAGTGCAGGATTTGCGGTGTATTACTGCATTTTATTTGAGATGTTTTTGTTGGTAGTACGGAAGGTACTTATTTAGCAATTTATAAAAACTTGTATTTAAACTGAATCCTTTTCTAAGTTGCGAAACATGAAAAGACCGATGACATGTACTCGGACTGGTGTAGCCTTACGGCTGGCGTTCTGCGGGGTGGGGTTTTATCACCTATACTTTTTTCGGTCTTTATCGGTGGAATTACATCATTACTCACGTCTTCTTTCCATCTCTATGCCGATGACCTTCAAATCTACACTGCAGCCCGTCTTGAAGATGTAGTTACTGCTATCGGCACATTGAATTCCGACCTACAAAAGGTTTCGGTGTGGGCTAAGAACTACGGACTTCTTTTAAATGCACAAAAGTCCCAAGCCATAATTATTGGCAGTCGCCATTCCATCTCCAAGTTTGAGTCTATGGTGATGCCCAATTTAGTTTTGAATGACACCATTATTCCTTTTTCCACTTCAGTTAAAAATTTGGGCATCATAATGGACCAGACACTTCCTTGGTCGAAGCATGTCGCCGATGTAAGTCGTAAAATCTTTGCATCACTTCATTCCCTCAAGCGGATGCAGTACTTTCTTCCTCTGTCTACCAAATTTATGCTAATACGCACTCTTCTTTTTCCTATTCTGGACTATGGTGACGTCTCCTATCTTGATCTTTCGGAGGACCTTCTTAATAAATTGAAGCGGCTGCAAAATCAATGTATCAGATTTGTGTTTGGATTGAAAAAGTACGACCACATTTCCAAGTTTAGAGATGAGTTGAAGTTGTTGCCTATTCGTTTACGTAGAAATGCTCAGATTTTATGCTTCCTCTATAAAATCCTGTTCCATCCCACTTCACCTAGCTATCTACGTGAGCGTTTTCAATACCGTCAGGCTATGGGTGACCGCCTGCGTTCTGGCACCAATTTGTCCCTCGTCCTTCCACAACACAGTTCCCAAAAATATTCGACCTCGTTCACAGTAAATGCTGCCCGTATGTGGAACCTTTTCCCGGTCGAGGTCATACAGTCGCCTTCGGTTCGGGTTTTCAAGGGTTCTCTTTTGAAGTTTTGGGATTGTTCAGACTCCACATGTTAGAGCTTTTGAAATATTTATTTACATTTGATATATTTATTTATAGTTTTATTTTGTACATTCAATTTATTATAGACTTTGTATGTATTAATGTATCAACATTACTTAATATATTTATATTCGTATGTACATTTGATTTATTAAATTTATCTGTGTATTTATTGAGTATAGTATATTTCATTTCTTTACTTATCTATTTTTAGTACCACCCCAAAAACCAACTTTCCTCTCAGATTTTCAAAGGTTAGTTGGAAGAAATCTCTTTATGGGATAAGCTCGCCTTTGTACACAAATATTTACATTGTTTCTGAAAATTTGTAAGTTACTTTGTGGTACAATAAAGTGTTTAAATAAAAAATAAATAAAATAAAAGTGCATTAACGCTAACGGAGAATATTTTGAGAAACAATAAATTCATTTCTGAATTTATTGTTTATAAATGTATAGTATTTTTTTCTTATTAATTCTGGAAACTTTTAGTGCGCCACACGTACATATGTTTTAAAAAACCATATTGCAATGACACACTAGAGAACATTTTTATACAAAATACCAGTGAATACTTTATAAACGTCATAAAAACATTACGACATTACGTCGCGTCGGTTTGAAAAAAGATATAAAAACCGTTTTTCCCATTTTGTTTTAAATCAAAGTACTTTCTTATCAGATTGTTGTTGGATTTAACAATCTAGTACGATTAATCGGTAATGCAGTCCATCATCAATGTTCTACAAATCACGTAGTTTACGTGTACGTGTACGTATAATGTGAATGATTACTATAGGTCTACCCAACCTCAAAATTGAGGGGAAAACCTTTCAAAAATTACCATTTCTTTTTAAACTTAACCTATCAGTCTTTAAAAGGCGGATTTGCCTCAGAATTCTCTGTTAATGTCCCAATCGGGCGAGGGATTGTATAGCTCGCCATGTAACAAAACGATAGCGCGTTTTAACTCGATCGCTGCGCCATCTCTTGAGTGGTGGGAGAACTAAAAATGTAAGGATGGCGAATACTTCACATGAACAGCATTTAAGGAATATCTGACCTGAACGAAATACGTATTTATATTTACGTGTGAAATTAGAAAATACACATACTAAGTTGCTTAGTCATCGGAATAAAAGGTATACATTTCTACACATATGAAAGTATCATTTTTTAACGTAAAATAGTGATAAACACAACATAAAAACGAGAAATGAAAATATATTTATTTATAATGTATACGCTTCTAACTAATAAGATTCCGGTTGGTATTCAAAATGTACCTTTTACGAGGTTTAAAACTGTATTGAACCAAAAATGTAATATTAAAGTTTTATTATACAGTTTCTGCGCACTTAAATCATAAAAATCGAGTTTAGGTCTTGTTTATAATATGTTATATTTGAAAAAAGATATTCTAAATGATACATATGTACAGACGGCAGCACATTAAGCTACACATAGTCGTGTCTTGTTCTGTTGCATTGGAGGTGATTTTCGAACAATGATTGTAGCCTGATTTGCTGTTGACACAAATATCTGTCTGCAAGAACAATCTCCTTTTGTCAGAGCCAACATGTACTGCCGCGAAGACGTTCTAATAGACTTTGCATACACGTTTGGTCGTATAGTACTTTGATTTATCTGTTTGGATTTTACTAAACTGCCTTCGTGGCTGAACGGTTACCATGCCAGACTGCCACGCAGAGGTCCCAGGTTCGAATACCGGGCCGGGAAAATATTTGTATGGGCTACGTTTATTTCTCTCGTGAGTTTGGGTGCAATTTGTGGTTGTCTATGTGTGTGTGCGTTATTATTATTATTATTGTTTTTCTAATAAGTTGAACTAATTGGAATATTTTTTCCAATTAGTTCAACTGATTGAACTTCTAGAATAACTTAGTGGAATAGATGTTTTCTCTTTCGGCTACCCACAGTCCGTGGTCCGTTTCTCCGCCCGCGCGCGTGCTGACCCGTGGCGGCCTGTTCGGATCTGGTCAGTAAATTCAAAGGCGGGGCCCCAGAGCGCGCGCGGCCTATCCTCTCTACGCACCCGAATAATCGCCAGTACGCGTGTCGGCCCGTGGCCGCCCGGACTCCGGTTTGATATCACGGGCCGTGGGTACGCACCGTGATAGGGCGAATACGTTCAATAATGATCAGATCCCCTAAATAAATATAGTGTAAATAACCCTTTGAATTTCTTACCTATTGTTCTCATGGGAATCTGTGACGATTTAAGAGTAATTTGCTTACATTTGATAGAAAGACATATTTGTTGATTTTGAATTGGAAGTATTTTTAATATCGAAAACTTATGACGGGCTCGTTAAAACTTTTTCGCGTGTCCATAAGACGTATCCAAGTAACACGCTGTAAGAAATGCTTTCAATCCAACGATTCTGTCTCGCTCCAATGAGTTCTACAAGTTTGTTAATTTTAAGTTTACCTGTGTCGAGTGCGACGACAGTGTCGAAGACGCACGCAAAAGCGAGTACCATGTATGTGCGGTACATCATTATAACTTCTGAAAAAAAAAAATTGCTGTTAGAATATAGGTGTTATACACATACAATACCATTAAAATGTTTCTATATATTTTTTCCAAAGTTGATCACTGTTCTACAGAATCTACCAAAGCTATTTGAAGTAGTATAGACTCTTATAGTTATAAACAAATATACAAATAAATAAGAAGTTGCGTGTACGATAGTTCCTAATTAAGTCCCTCTCAACTTAATAAATAGGAATGTAAATAGTGAGTAAGGTACCCTCTTATTTGTATAATATTTACTACCGTATATAGTATATTTCGTATTTATGCTGACGGCGAGTGCTTGTTGAGCATGGGTCTACTTGCGATTAGGGCAATTTACAATCTGGATCACAGAATGTCTTTGAGATGATTTTAAAGAAATTAACATTCTTGCCGTAGCGTCACAGTAAGTACATTTATGAAAATGTATTTTTTTTAAATAGTGATGAATGTAATACACTTAATGTGAAGAATAAAATTGGAGTGACTATTTCTTATAATTATTAAGAAAGAAAAACTTCCTTCAATTTGTAAGGTCCGTTGGTTCGTTCCGTGGCTTGCTCACCAGCAAATGATGCGTATTGGAAATGGTTTCCAATACGATTCAAATTTTCACATTCCATCCCTTTCCCGCACATACCTTACTTGCACGCAAGAGCGAGACAACTTCACCCAACTGGTGACGCCTAGCGGACGAAGAAGAAAATACTCGCATCGCTGTTGAAATTTTGCCGACGAATGCAATGGCCGCGCGCACAACCGTCGCCGTTAATTTATTGTGAAACCATACTAAACTGAAAATTATGATGAACAATAGTAAATGTACGTTCCGGTGAACTTGTGAAGAATCGCTCCCTGGACAAGGCAAGGACCCGAGATCACTCAACTCATCGGCAGAACGGTCACGCGGTTGGTTTCAAGAGGCATTATGCTCCCATATTTATTCATATACAGTCCACAAATCGAAGAAAGGCGTAATAAACGACATTTGCCTGCATAACATGGCAGTTGCCCGCATGAATCGCGCCACCAGAGTTGGCATAGCGTCTGGCACGATTTGCTAGAAAACTTTCGAACCCAACCGGATCGAAGGTTTTTTTCTTAGAGTTCAATTCAACTTTGTATTAACAACTATAAGAAACTAGTGGAGTAATTTCACAAAAATGATTGCATATCGTGGTAAAACAATGTAGCATTAAAAAAAATTTAATACGATGAAGACAGTCGTCTTCACAAAGCCACAAATTCATTTAAGTGGTATTGTATACGGGTAATTTTCAGTTAAGTTTTTTGTACTCAATTTTGGTGACAATTTCTTTTTATTTGAACATTCATCATTCATTGAATATCATCATGAAGCATTATTTAATATTCGAGTGTGGTAACCTGAAATATTCTTTAATATTTGACGATGATATACTCGAGTAGTTAAATAATAAAAATTGTCACCAAAATTGAGTACAAAAACCTTACCTGAAAATTACTAGAACACTTCTACGAGCATAAAAGTTCCGGTTGATATTTAAAATTAGCCGAAGTTTAAAACTATATTGAAACAAAATATAATGTAAATAAACTTACATTTTCATTTGAACAAATGTATTATACATTTGTTCAAATGAAAATGTAATTATTTATATTAAGATTAATATTATTTAATGTGGGAAATAGGATAATGGATACGCTTCTATAATAATATTCCGGTTGATAACCAAAATTTGCCATTTTAAGGTTCAAAACTTTATACTGATATAACTTTATACTATTAGTAGTTTATGTGACTGTTTTAGGCTTTAAAATAAGAGTGAGGGTTTCTGAAACGAGCCAACAGGCGAGTTTCATAAAAACATCTCACGAGTGTTTTAATGCCTAATTATGTACAGTTACATACACTGCTTTATCTACACACATATTATAAGCACTCTGTGATGTGTAGGAACCGCATGTTACGACTGGCGAAATGGCGCTAAATAAAAACTTTTCTCACGCATGTCACACAACCGTAGTTTTTATTTTTAATTCATAGACAAATTAGAATCGGCGAATATGAAGTAACGTGTGATATTGTTAAAATTGTTTGCTATTTTCATTTCATTTCGAATAAAACTGATATTAGAATTGAGGTCCTATCAAATTGTTTTGTTTTTCAGAGATGTTCGAAATTTGAATGTAATAATAACATCGAATTCGATGTTAATAAGCAATAACATTTTCACAGATAAGAAAACTAAACTGTTCTAACAAATCAGCTTACCTTTAAGCTGGTCGTAATTTGCGAGTTTTGAACACATTATGGAGAGTTTATGATATGTGTTGAAATAAAGGTTATTTGTTGTACAGCTTCTACGAACATGGATGATAAAAATCCGTAGTAGAGAGTCGATTCGCTCTTGCAGGTTATCTCAATACTTGCAATAAATATTGTATTTCATAAATATGTATTAATATTTATTTACAAAGAGAAACCCTAGAGTTTTTTACTCATTCTTCTCAGGGGAATCTGCCTTACGAATGAGTAGTAGAGTATAATTAATGTGACGATTTCAAGTATAATTTGATTACATTATGACAAAAAGTTCTGAAATTAAATCTCATATGAAGCTTCCTTTATGATGTTTTAAAACGTTCATGATGGATTAAAACGTTGTCCAACAAAAAAGATTTTTTCTTTTAGTTACCGGTGGGTTTTCTTTTAATCACCGTTGAATAAACCAAGCTTCTTCAGACGGAGTGCCTAATTTGTTACAGTGTGTAGTTTTTCTGTTAAATTTCTAGTTCTTTTTTCAAATTAACGTTTTAACCGACGTCAAAAAAGGAGGAGGTTCGCAGTTCGACTGTATCTTTTGTGTGTATGCCAACTCTAAGGTTCCGGGTTCGATCCCCGGCCGGGTCAATATTTTCTGGTTTTTTCATTTTTTTTATTGTGACTCGGCAAAATGACTGCACCGCGCCTGATGGAAAGTGCGAATACAGTCCAGAGATGAGAGTAACGGATGGAAAACACAAATATCTTCACTCCGTCACTATCATTTTGCCGGTCTGGCCAAACGCTTCTTCACACTACGTTTGAAGGACCCGATGTTATAGAGAGGAGGGAATACATGCGCCGGGAGTTAGTTCCACAATTTGATGGTTCGGCATAAAAACGAATTGCCAAACTTTTTAGTGCGGGACGGTATTGAACTCACCGTCCAACTGTGGCAACGCAGTCCGGCACGGGTGGTCCGCTGATGGAAAGGAGAGGAAGGGATAAGGTTGAATAACTCTTCAGAGCACTCACCGTGGTACAGGCGATAGAATACGCTAAGAGACGCTATATCTCTGCGAAGCTGTAACGACTCCGCATGCTCAGTTACATGAGGATCGTTGACAACACGGAAGGCGTAGCGCTGCAGTCCATCTAGGGCATCGAGCAAGTACTTGGCAGAGCCGTCCCAAAGGTGCGAACAGTACTCCATGCTGCTTCGGACCTGAGCTTTATACAACAGGTATCGCAGCTCTGAAGTAAAAAATCGGTGCACCTTGTTCAGGATGCCAAGCTTGCGCGATGCGGTACAGATGACACTCTCGATATACTCTTTGTTGCTCATGTCCTTCCGGATGCTCATCCCATGTAGTGTTTAAAGAGATAGATATTTTATTCTACAATAATTCGTGTTAGAATAAACCTATAATAAAATTATCGCTTGATTTCAGGTTTTTTTATATGATCGAGTTTGAATAGCGTACATCCTGTCGTGTAACGAAGTAGCATATGCTTTAGACAATATCCTTAGGTGTATTATATTTTTTGTAACACCTTTAATACGAAATATCTAAACCACTTGATGTAGCAATATAGTTTTTCCCGCTTCTACTCCGGTGACTCACCTCAATGTAACGTGAATTTCTTGGTGACATACCAATACCCTGGTACACCTGACCACCGCTGGCACGTATCGCCTGATGGGCGGATTGTTTGTACCTCACTGGTGATGGATTCCGAGATGAACGACTTAGTCTACACAACACTATCTTTGATTCGTTTTAATATTTTTTTATATGTACGAGTATTATATAAAAAAACGCCCCTTCTTATTATTTAGCGTATATTATTGTAATTATTTACTCCAGATAAGTAAATAAAATTCGTCTATAACGGACGTTTCTTACACTCGACTCAAGTGGCATTGCCGCCCCGGGGCAAAGCGTATCCTCTTTGAGAGTTTTGATTGATTGTTGTAATTACAAGTGTTTTTAGTACATCCTACGTGACTCATACACCCCAAATAAAAAATATGGGCCCCGTCTACATATCAGAATCTAACATAAGTTGACCTCTCGATTGCAAAGACTGCATTAATTCGGGGTTTTACGCTCGAAGGTGGAAAGGGGTGTAAGGATCAAGTTACAGCGGTGACAAAGAACTGCATTTGTACACGCAACGTCCCTTAGTGACTCACGTTTTGTATTGTGTCGTAAACCGAAAGTAATGAGGGGGCGGGAATTGTTAGCGCGCATTTTAATTTTTTAAATGAGTTCCGATTTGTAGTAAAAACAGTTTTACTGTTATAATACTGATTGATTGTGATAAAGAAGTAATGGATTAGACTTCGTAATGGATTAATTCATCGTTATTCCGTGAATTGCACTCTGGTGTCTTATTCTTTGAATGTTTTTTTCCGTATTGGTAATATGTTTACTACTACAAGTGCAAGTCTCTGCCTGTCCGGAGGGGACCAGACTTGACAGTAGGTAAATAAGTTCGTAACCATATTATACAGATAATATAGAACAGTCCCACAGCTTCTAAGTTGTAGTTACAGTGCCCTCCCTACCCAATCTTTGGGTTATAGGTACGGGAAGGGTATCATTACCTGTGCAAGGAAGCCCGCACGAGGACCTTATCAATCAGGTCCTGACCCAGATAAGCCAATTGACACAGACTTATCCGTTTCTCAAAAAGCTAGTGCCCTGGGTGAGCACCCCCGGGTGCACGTACAG